GAACAGGAAGCGGTCGGGAACAGGAAGCGGTCGGGAACAGGAAGCGGTCGGGAACAGGAACGGGAACAGGAAGCGGTCGGGAACAGGAAGCGGTCGGGAACAGGAAGCGGTCGGGAACAGGAATCGGTCTGGGAACAGGAAGCGGTCTGGGAACAGGAAGCGGTCTGGGAACAGGAAGCGGTCTGGGAAGTTCTCAGCTGCAGATTATCGTTACATAACGGCTCGGCGTGTCGAAGAGCCGCTGAAGGGCAGCCAATCAGAGGCCGGTGGCTAATCGGTCATAAGTGTGAATAATCCTCCGCTGAGTGTGATTACGTGCAGCAGAGACTCTGCGGTTTAACTGGGATCTGGTGCTGCAGACTCTGCAGAGAAAAGACTTTAAATCTGGCTGCTGCTCTTTAACTTCTTGCCACCTTCACATCGTTCTGGTTGATCAATAATTCAGTATTTCTGAAGGACTTCACCTGTTTTTGGTTTTTTTCAATCTTGACCTCAGTCACCAGTCCTGCTGGTCAAAGGCTTCGACCCAAACGTCTTTATCTGTTTCTCACTGATTATATATCAGTAATTAACTCTCATATGTTTTACACATTTCTTGAAATATTGTTATTAAATGTGATTCTTCATTATCTGCCTGAAACCATCTAAAAGCATCAGAAGACGTTTTTATTCGTCACTGAACCGGGTGAAGGAGGAGTTTTTGATTTCTCGCCACTTCCTGCTTTACAAAATAGAAACTAAAATGGAGGCGTCAGATGGAGGATTTCTCTTCAGTCTTTGGTTAAAGACCAGGAGCCATTTCTGCTGCTAGCGCTAGGCTAACATGTTAGCTTTGGTTGTATTTACCCAGAATGCCCAGAACCAGAGTTCATTCAACCGAACCCAGACCGAGGTTTGGAGGACCAGAGATCCTCCCCAAACAAACCGGACCTTCGAACCAAACGGACTGGATTAAATCTGGTTAAACACAGCTGGAGTGGACGGCTGCAGGACGCCGGCCTTTGACGTCTGACTGTGGAACCGCTGGTTTCATGAGTCTGACCTCCAAAAACGCTTTCAGAAGGAGAAAAGAACAACGATGATTCAGCAAACGGTGGAGAACTGGACTCATTATTCTGCCTGGCAGACCCAAACGCCGTGACCAGAGGCAGCAAACAGCTGGCATCGTCCTGACAGGACAGAAAGAAACAAAGTTCAAAGTTCATTTTCTTTCCCAGTGGCGCTTCCTGTCACCTCTGACCTTTATCATGTTAGCCCGCTGCATGTAAAGTCCAACGGCAGTCCAAACGGTGCAGTGGGAGATGACACGGACCTGTTTGGTCGGATTAATTAGTCCATGTGTGGATCAGGTGTTGACTCACCCGGAGCTGCTGCAGGTCGGGCTGCGTCACGTTTCCGTCTGCTGCTTTTCACATTCTGGAGAATAAATCAGCAGCGACTGATGGGCTCCGGTCAGCACTTACTGCTGCCGCCGTATGTCTGCATATTAACGATGATTAAATGGTTTTATCAGGACCAAACGCCGCAGTGAGAGGAAATGACCCGACTGTAACCTTTAGCATAGGAAATGAATCTGTATTTATCCTGTAATTAACAAAAACAAACGGTTTCCGTCGTTTTCCAGGCTTTGCAGCACGGCTTCTTTGACTTTGAGACGTTTGATGTGGACGAATACGAACACTACGAGGTAAAACCAGTAAGACCAGTCACTGCTTTAATGGTTTGAAAACGCGGCTCTGGGAACTTTTAATTTGAAGGACCAGACTGACATCACTCCGCCATACAGGAAGGAGTCTCCATGAATGTTTGAGTGTTTTCATAAAGTTTCATTTGGTAAATAATGAACCTCTTAACTCAAAGTTTCATTATTTTCAGAATAACATTTCATATGAGTCATAAACATAAGGACTCCTTCATGTTATGTCAGTCTTTATATTAATAGTGTTTCCTGTTGAGTCGTAACTAGTTACATTTACTTGAGTAACATTTTTCAAAAGTTGTATGTTTGCTGCTGTTCTTTGTACTTTTACTTCAGTAATTGTATTTTGAAGTATTTCTACTTTTACTTGAGTTAAACTTCTGGATTTTCTACCCACTGAATGAAAATCAAACATGTTTTAATTCACCAGACTCAGACCTGCAGTTTCTGTTAAAGTTTCTGAAGATTTTATATGAAACTGATTTGGAAAATTTTTCTTCTGCCTGATTTAGTTATTTTTTATTTTATTATTATTGTCATTTTGGTCTTTAAAATACCAAAATTTCTCCTTAATTTTATAATTTGGTACATCTGATTTTGTCATTTTAAATATTCAATGATTGATAACTTGATCAGGTGCTCAGATGTTTTACCATCTCTGAGTGTTGAAGATGTTTTCAGTTTTTCCTTTTCTGCATCAGGATGAGATAAAGTTGGAAACCTGGACTGCGGTGCCCTCTTCTGGAGAACCGGAGTAGTTTCACCTTAGCAGGACTAAATTAAAACAAGCCTGAATTAAATAATCAGAGTTAAAGACTCCAGTTTTATTGTTTCCCTGCCTGAAGTCGTGTAAACTGTCTGTGTTGTCGCCTCGTCTCTGTCTGCAGCGCGTCGAGAACGGAGACCTGAACTGGATCGTCCCGGGAAAGTTTCTGGCCTTCAGCGGACCGCATCCCAAATCCAGGATAGAAAACGGTGCGTGAACAAATTTAAGCTGTTTTCTTCTCGTATTTCATGGAAAACACAAGAAAGCATTTTATTCCACTCGGTATTATTTCACTGACGGTTACAAACTGCTTTTGTCATGCAGATTGTCTGGTTTCACTCCGTCCTGCAGCAGCTGTTTTATTTATAAAAACCTTTCCTAGTTTAAACAGTCTAGATTTTCCCAGGATGCCCGGCGGTGTTTATGTTCCCTCCCTCTGTTGAATCAGGTTAACCTCGCTCTTGTGTTGCACAAGTAAATTCCTGAGTTTGTCTGAAACGTAAGCAGCAGATCTGGTTCAGATTCCAAAGCTTCCAGAGACGCCAGATTAGTGAGGAAAGTAAAGTTTCCACTGCTGCTCCTCCCAGCTGAAGTTTCCCAGATGATTTCAGAAAGTCGTAATGAGAGACGATATGTTAGAGCGACGCTCTGCCCCTGCAGGTTACCCTCTGCACGCGCCCGAGGCTTACTTCCCCTACTTCAGGAAGCACGGAGTGACCACCATCATCCGCCTGAACAAGAAGATCTACGACGGAAAGCGCTTCACCAACGCCGGCTTCGACCACTACGACCTCTTCTTCATCGACGGCAGCACGCCCAACGACACCATCTTACGCCGCTTCCTGTACGTCTGTGAGAACGCGCAAGGAGCCGTGGCCGTCCACTGCAAAGGTAGGCCCCTCACTGGGAGCGGTAGTTCCCAGAGCAGCCAGCAGGGGGCGGGCTGCGCCTGGGAAGGCTTGTCGGATGAGGACAGAGGAAAAAATGATTTTAGCTGAGCTGAGTGAGGATGAACAGAAAGAACGAGTGAAGTAATACGACATGAAAGGTTTTGGGTCGTTCAGCATGGATACTGAGGCAGGAAGTAGAAATAAATGGCACATGGTTTCTTTTAGCTAGCGCTTGCTAACGTTTTGGCCCAGTAATAACTTTATGGGCCCCGTTGGTGACCTTATGGGCCCCGTTGGTGACCTTTTTGGTCGCATTAATAACAATGTTGACCCCATTAATGGCCTTAGCTTCCTGATTAGTGACCATTTTAGCTGCATTAATAACCTTCATGGTGCCATTGGTGACCTTTTAATGTGTAATTTTCGGTTTGGGTCGAAACAATCATTCATGTAAATATTTTTAGTCATATTCTGTGCGTTTGCTCACAGTTTGTTTCTTCTGGACGTTTTAAATGCTGAGCTCACGTTTCCAGTTTTGAAAAGTCAACATGAATGAAGATTACTCTAAAGATTACGCATCCCCTCTTCCTTCAATAACAACTTGTCACCACTGCCAGGACTCAGCTGGAGACCAGGAATCAGTTCCCACCGCAGCTATTCGGCATCCAGTTGTCCTTGGACTAGGCCGTTCAGGCAGCTGACCTTCCTGTTGTTTTTACCAGATGGATGAATAATGGATGTTTTCCCTGTGGAAACAGTTCTTGGTGATCCAGGTCAGCTCCCTGGTTGTTTCAGGCGAGTTTGGCTAAAATAAGCTAATTGTTGTTAACTGCTGGGCTTCCAAACACTCAGGCCCGTCACCCTAACAAGCTTTGCTGGATTGTCCCAGAAGTTATTGCGATAAACGATAATATTGTTGTTGAGTGAGTTTGGTGTCTGTTTTCTCCTTTTCTGCTCCGTTTGCTTCAGATCTGGATGATTCTCAGAAATGACTCTGGATCCTTTCCAAACATGTCAGTGACGTCGTTTCTTGATCGATCGGGGTTTGAAGCTTTTTGAGATCTTTTACAGGGTGACACGTTTTTTACAAGTTTGAGTCGCCCTCAGACGTCTGAGAGGCGGTTGAGGCTACCGCTAACGAGCTGCTAGCATACGTTGCTAGCTGGCTAACTAGCCTTTCTGTGTCTATTACAGTGTGAATTTATCACCACTTGGCCGGATGAAGTTTATACATTTCTATGGAGATGAGCCTTAAATAAATTCATAATGGTCTGACAAAGGTTTATAAAAGGTTTAAATCTGATTTGTGAAACCTGCAGCAGCCTGTCGTGGCCTACTTCCTGCTGCCACACAGTTCATGTGATCTGGAAGAGAAATGAAACCCAAACAGATGTGACCTCAGTTAATGTGATGTTTAAAACAGAAGCTGAAGGTCCAGGATGGACTGAGGAGCTCCATGAATTTAAAAACCTCTTTTAGTTTTTGGCTCTGGTTCTGTTTGACATTAAACCGGGTTTGTTCTGAAACGGGTCACAGACATGACGGTGTGATGAAGCAGTGTTTTGCTTTTGGGTGATGATCTGCAGCTCGGTTCTGATCCAAACGGCTCATGTTTGTTGCTGCTGTTTCTGTTTGTCTCCGCCAGCCGGTCTGGGCAGAACGGGCACTCTGATTGGCTGCTACCTGATGAAACACTACCGCTTCACCGCCGCCGAGGCCATCGCCTGGATCCGGATCTGCAGGCCCGGTTCTGTCATCGGGCCGCAGCAGAACTTCCTGGAAGAGTGAGTCTCTGCTGGTTTGTTCCTGTTCAGTTTCAGCTTCCAGGAGACAAAATGCACAAAAGAATGAGAATCGTGCAGATTTAGCCTCAATATGATCATCGATATGATCATCAATATGATCATCGATATGATCATCAATATGATCATATTTATTATTGAGGAATAAATCAATTAATCACATGATAAATTAAAATGAGCTCAAGTTTTATCGTTTCTCTCTTCCTGCCAAAATCTGGGTGATAAAAGTCTGCAGTCGGTGTTTCGGTCTCAGCCAGCTCTTATTTTGAAGGACATTTTTGTTTACAGAAACATTATGATTCCTTTTATTTGTTGTTTTTCTTGATTTGTTTATTTATCTTGGATATTTAAAATGTCTTCCTGGTTTAATATATGACCTGAAAATGATCCCAANTGATAACTTGATCAGGTGCTCAGATGTTTTACCATCTCTGAGTGTTGAAGATGTTTTCAGTTTTTCCTTTTCTGCATCAGGATGAGATAAAGTTGGAAACCTGGACTGCGGTGCCCTCTTCTGGAGAACCGGAGTAGTTTCACCTTAGCAGGACTAAATTAAAACAAGCCTGAATTAAATAATCAGAGTTAAAGACTCCAGTTTTATTGTTTCCCTGCCTGAAGTCGTGTAAACTGTCTGTGTTGTCGCCTCGTCTCTGTCTGCAGCGCGTCGAGAACGGAGACCTGAACTGGATCGTCCCGGGAAAGTTTCTGGCCTTCAGCGGACCGCATCCCAAATCCAGGATAGAAAACGGTGCGTGAACAAATTTAAGCTGTTTTCTTCTCGTATTTCATGGAAAACACAAGAAAGCATTTTATTCCACTCGGTATTATTTCACTGACGGTTACAAACTGCTTTTGTCATGCAGATTGTCTGGTTTCACTCCGTCCTGCAGCAGCTGTTTTATTTATAAAAACCTTTCCTAGTTTAAACAGTCTAGATTTTCCCAGGATGCCCGGCGGTGTTTATGTTCCCTCCCTCTGTTGAATCAGGTTAACCTCGCTCTTGTGTTGCACAAGTAAATTCCTGAGTTTGTCTGAAACGTAAGCAGCAGATCTGGTTCAGATTCCAAAGCTTCCAGAGACGCCAGATTAGTGAGGAAAGTAAAGTTTCCACTGCTGCTCCTCCCAGCTGAAGTTTCCCAGATGATTTCAGAAAGTCGTAATGAGAGACGATATGTTAGAGCGACGCTCTGCCCCTGCAGGTTACCCTCTGCACGCGCCCGAGGCTTACTTCCCCTACTTCAGGAAGCACGGAGTGACCACCATCATCCGCCTGAACAAGAAGATCTACGACGGAAAGCGCTTCACCAACGCCGGCTTCGACCACTACGACCTCTTCTTCATCGACGGCAGCACGCCCAACGACACCATCTTACGCCGCTTCCTGTACGTCTGTGAGAACGCGCAAGGAGCCGTGGCCGTCCACTGCAAAGGTAGGCCCCTCACTGGGAGCGGTAGTTCCCAGAGCAGCCAGCAGGGGGCGGGCTGCGCCTGGGAAGGCTTGTCGGATGAGGACAGAGGAAAAAATGATTTTAGCTGAGCTGAGTGAGGATGAACAGAAAGAACGAGTGAAGTAATACGACATGAAAGGTTTTGGGTCGTTCAGCATGGATACTGAGGCAGGAAGTAGAAATAAATGGCACATGGTTTCTTTTAGCTAGCGCTTGCTAACGTTTTGGCCCAGTAATAACTTTATGGGCCCCGTTGGTGACCTTATGGGCCCCGTTGGTGACCTTTTTGGTCGCATTAATAACAATGTTGACCCCATTAATGGCCTTAGCTTCCTGATTAGTGACCATTTTAGCTGCATTAATAACCTTCATGGTGCCATTGGTGACCTTTTAATGTGTAATTTTCGGTTTGGGTCGAAACAATCATTCATGTAAATATTTTTAGTCATATTCTGTGCGTTTGCTCACAGTTTGTTTCTTCTGGACGTTTTAAATGCTGAGCTCACGTTTCCAGTTTTGAAAAGTCAACATGAATGAAGATTACTCTAAAGATTACGCATCCCCTCTTCCTTCAATAACAACTTGTCACCACTGCCAGGACTCAGCTGGAGACCAGGAATCAGTTCCCACCGCAGCTATTCGGCATCCAGTTGTCCTTGGACTAGGCCGTTCAGGCAGCTGACCTTCCTGTTGTTTTTACCAGATGGATGAATAATGGATGTTTTCCCTGTGGAAACAGTTCTTGGTGATCCAGGTCAGCTCCCTGGTTGTTTCAGGCGAGTTTGGCTAAAATAAGCTAATTGTTGTTAACTGCTGGGCTTCCAAACACTCAGGCCCGTCACCCTAACAAGCTTTGCTGGATTGTCCCAGAAGTTATTGCGATAAACGATAATATTGTTGTTGAGTGAGTTTGGTGTCTGTTTTCTCCTTTTCTGCTCCGTTTGCTTCAGATCTGGATGATTCTCAGAAATGACTCTGGATCCTTTCCAAACATGTCAGTGACGTCGTTTCTTGATCGATCGGGGTTTGAAGCTTTTTGAGATCTTTTACAGGGTGACACGTTTTTTACAAGTTTGAGTCGCCCTCAGACGTCTGAGAGGCGGTTGAGGCTACCGCTAACGAGCTGCTAGCATACGTTGCTAGCTGGCTAACTAGCCTTTCTGTGTCTATTACAGTGTGAATTTATCACCACTTGGCCGGATGAAGTTTATACATTTCTATGGAGATGAGCCTTAAATAAATTCATAATGGTCTGACAAAGGTTTATAAAAGGTTTAAATCTGAGTTGTGAAACCTGCAGCAGCCTGTCGTGGCCTACTTCCTGCTGCCACACAGTTCATGTGATCTGGAAGAGAAATGAAACCCAAACAGATGTGACCTCAGTTAATGTGATGTTTAAAACAGAAGCTGAAGGTCCAGGATGGACTGAGGAGCTCCATGAATTTAAAAACCTCTTTTAGTTTTTGGCTCTGGTTCTGTTTGACATTAAACCGGGTTTGTTCTGAAACGGGTCACAGACATGACGGTGTGATGAAGCAGTGTTTTGCTTTTGGGTGATGATCTGCAGCTCGGTTCTGATCCAAACGGCTCATGTTTGTTGCTGCTGTTTCTGTTTGTCTCCGCCAGCCGGTCTGGGCAGAACGGGCACTCTGATTGGCTGCTACCTGATGAAACACTACCGCTTCACCGCCGCCGAGGCCATCGCCTGGATCCGGATCTGCAGGCCCGGTTCTGTCATCGGGCCGCAGCAGAACTTCCTGGAAGAGTGAGTCTCTGCTGGTTTGTTCCTGTTCAGTTTCAGCTTCCAGGAGACAAAATGCACAAAAGAATGAGAATCGTGCAGATTTAGCCTCAATATGATCATCGATATGATCATCAATATGATCATCGATATGATCATCAATATGATCATATTTATTATTGAGGAATAAATCAATTAATCACATGATAAATTAAAATGAGCTCAAGTTTTATCGTTTCTCTCTTCCTGCCAAAATCTGGGTGATAAAAGTCTGCAGTCGGTGTTTCGGTCTCAGCCAGCTCTTATTTTGAAGGACATTTTTGTTTACAGAAACATTATGATTCCTTTTATTTGTTGTTTTTCTTGATTTGTTTATTTATCTTGGATATTTAAAATGTCTTCCTGGTTTAATATATGACCTGAAAATGATCCCAAAACAAAAACATTATCGTTCATCTCAGTGAGGTCCGGTCCGGTTCGTCGTCCGAACCGAATCGGTCCGGTTCGCCGTCTGAACCGAATTAGTTCGGACGGCGAACTGGACCTCACATGTAACTTTTCAGCAGCTGCTCCAGTTCAGCTGATTTCGTTGATGACATGACGGTAAAATGCCTCGTCGGTGATCTGCCTTCTACTTTTCATCCATATTTAAAGACGCTCTTATTTGTTGCTGAAAAGTTACTTGTAAGTTACTTTGGTTTAATTTCAAGTATTTTAAAATATTTGCACTAGAAACCAGACAGAAATTCTTAAGATTTTATGGTTTTGCAGTGAATAAAGTGATTTTTGTCTGATCTCCAGATTGCACATGAACCCAGTTAGATCCAAAAACAAACGTGTTAACTGGTTTCAGTTGGATCAGAATGTAGGGCACAGACTGAGAACTGGAGCAGAATCTGATGAAGAGGGAAGACGGACTCTTCCTCGTTAAAAGCTCGTTAATAATGATGAAGTTCATCATCCTGGCTGACGAGTCGCAGCGTTTCTCACATGAAGGCGATGAAACTGAAAGTAAGGAGCAGAAGTGAGATCAGGAAAACAAACAGAGCTGAACGCTGATCTGCAGCACCTTCACCTCCTGATTGCAGCCGCTGGCGTCGCTAACATAACATCTCTGCCTCGCTATGGGAAGCCAGAACCTCCATCAACAAGCATCAGAATCTGGTCCGGTTTATGTTCCGGAACAGAAATTCCTCCAGATATGAAGACCCTGAACAGAGACAGGAAGTCCTGCAGGAAGATGGTTGCTGCAACATTTCCACTCAAATGTTGGCAGGAGCAGCATTAAGAAAGGAAGAATGTGTCGGCGAACTCCGAACGGTGGAAACGGCCGATACAGAAATCAGATCGTTCGCTCTGTCCTGTCCGGCTGATCACTGTGACCTTTGACCTGGTTTCTGCACCAGTTGCAGGTGTGCAGTAGAAATCAGATGTCAGTCTGTTCGGCTTGAAACTAGCGATGCACCGATCCACTTTTTCACTACTGATCCTGATATCTGAGGTTTAATATCACAGAAGAAAGCAGCTGAATTTACTTAAAACAGACATAAATGTAGAAATTTATCTGATAAATCAGGTTAAGCTCAGTTTCACCAGCGGATCGGAGCGTTCGCTACATCAGAACTTATTAAGTAAATATACTTCCATCTTAAACCAAAACATTTATTTACATTTTAGCTCCAACAATGAGCTGTTAGCTAAATGTTTAGCCTGGAGAAAATGAATGGAAGGACGACATGTCCATGAGGTCCTCTGGCATTTTACAGCCTTAAAATGTCTTCTGGAGGTCGTAAGGTCGTCTCTTAAACCTCATCCTGAGTGAAGGTGTGATCTGTGTCCACAGCAAGCAGGCGTCTCTGTGGCTGCAAAGCCAGCACACTCTGAAGGGAAGAATAGAGGACAAGACGGCGCATCTCATCAGCGGCCTGGACGAGCTGTCGCTAAGCTCCGCCCACAACGCCAACTTCCTCCGATCGGCGAGCGCCGAACGTCTGCAGGAGGTTAGACACACAAACCGTTCCATCGACGGAAAACCTAAACCTGTTTTGGTTCATCGCTCCAGACCCGCCAGGTTGGGCCTGAAACGATTAATCAGATGAAACGTGATTAATCGATTTATTGAAATAATCGTCAGCTAGTTGAGTAATCGATTAATTGCTAACTGGAGTATACAGACTCAAAAAAGGTTCATATTGACAGCAGTGATTAGGCCAAAACTGTTTTTAAAGAGTAAATTTCTTCAGGGGTCCTTTGGAAAAAAATAACAATAGAAACTGAAAATTTAGCCAAGCTTGATAAACTGTTAAAGATTTTTAAAATAATTTTAAATAATAAGGCAGTTTTTAAGTAAAAGTCGACTCGTTGTGTTGCACCTTACATCCAGAGTGTCCGGGCATCCTTAAAAAGTCTTAAGTTCAGGTTTCTCAATAAACGCCTTGAAATGCCTTAAATTTCCTGTAAAACATAAAAGTTGGCCTTAGATCCTTTAATCTTTGTCGTAGCAGGACCATTTCATCTCTTATACTCTATCTAGGTTCTTTTCCTCGCAGGACTTTTCTGTCAGGCAAAAGTTTCAGTCGCCCACAGACATCCTCATTGAACTTTGTGACTCGAGGCAGTTGAGGCTACTGGTAAGTAGCTGCTAGCATACACCAGCTAACTAGCCAGCTTTTTTCCTTCTTGCATCCATTGTGGATATTTATGGCCGTTTGTCTGGACGACGTTCGTCTTCCACACCAGCTAACTGCTGCTGCTAACCCAGCAGATGCTACGTTCACTCTGGGCTAAAACGCTCGGCGCTGGAGCGGGCCGGGCCGGGTCGGGCCGGGCCGTACGGCTTTAGAATCACTTTGTTTTCATAGCAGATCCGATTCTGATTTTAATCAGGCAGGATGCAGGTGAGCCAAAATCCTCCAAAAAGATTTCTGCAGAATATTTTGTCAGAAATGCTCAGAAACCATCGATGCACCGATCAACTTTCCACACTTCCGATATCTGAGGTTTGGTATCGGCCGATCAAGTACAGAAAACCAGCTGAATTAACTGAAATCGTTTCTATTTTATGTATAAATTAATAGAATTACAAATGTATCTGATAACTCTGCACCAGTACAGCTCAGTTAAACCCATCAGCAGCTTCAGCAGCTGATCAAACATGTAGAAACAACTTTAATTTCTCAGTCAGTGAAATTAGGAGCAGATCAGCCAAAGCCAATCAGACAGCAGGTTGATTTTCTTTAAAAATAAACTGCAACAAACCTTCAAATGGTTCAGTTAGGAATTTTAAATGAAATGTAAAATAAATGAGGACGTGTGATGTGAAAGAGATTGGGTAGATCCGATCAGGCCCGACTTAGAATTGTTTTCAGTTTCGGGATCGATACAGATATTGGTATTGGATTGGTGCATTTCCAGCAGAAACTGTGAATATTGCAGCTTATCTACAGAAATGTCCAGATCTTTGTTGGTCAGCAGAATCAATAAACAGAACTCCAGTCCTGCTCTGGTAAAAACATTTTTATTATTTTGTGTTCTCCACCCGTTTCCCGTTTCACCCGTCGCCTCACAGGAGCGCTTGTTTTCTCCTGCAGGGTGACATTACAGACGGTTCGGGTCTTACGCAGGGCGACAAACTCCGAGCCCTGAAGAGCCGCCGCCACCCTCGCCCATCTGTGAGCGGAGGAGCTGTGAGGTACAGGAATGAACTTTGACCCCAGGCCGGGGTTCGTTAAGCTGCTTTTAGATGAAATCCTTTCTGCATCGACCTGTCACTGGATTGGACGTCGCGCTGCTCATGGTGCACATTAAGATGACACAATCACATCATCACATTACGACCAGCCAGGTCCACATTACACAAGTCAGGAAAAAGTTCAATTTTAAAACGATGGAGAAAGATGAGCGTAGCTCAGTTATGCTAGCTTGACTATGACAACCTTAACATGATGATGTGCTGCAGTTTGGTGTGTTTCACTTCAGTTGGCACTAACACGGCGACACACACACACACACACCTGCACAGAGCAGGTGTTTACATTAGCTAATCAACCTCCGCTCGCGTTCAGACGATCAACTTATCAATAATCGTAAAATGAACATCAAACCTGAAAACAGAAACGAAGTGAATGCTCCGTTCTTTGTGTTGGAAAAGTTTTTTTAATAAAACAACATGAGACCTGGTGGGTCTACAGCAGCCTGAGCTCTGCAGCCGCCAGAGACAGGAACTGGTCTCTGGCCTCGTTTATATTCATAACAATTATCAAACACAATAAAATATTTCATAAAGTGTAAGAGCCGAAGTAAAATTATTGACCAATATGAAAGATAAATCCCTTTAGTCCTCTCGTGCATCTGGACAGAAACCAAACTGTTTACAGATTTATAAACACATTTTATGCATCAAAACATCAGTCATTTTAATTTAAATAATATTTTATAGAAATAAAGGCGATATGAACATTTTGTGACGGATTAGTGTCATCCTGCATCAGAGCAGCCTGGTTTTATGGAAGTTACTCGATGCGTAGACATGGCGCCTGCAGCAGCGCGTCGCTAGCGCTGGCGGCTAACGGGCGCGGATCCGTGCAGTAATAATTATCGGTGGTTTTGTAAACTGACGGTTCTGTTTGGTTGCAGATTTGAGGAGTCTAAGAGCCACCATCGGCCCAGCTCACCGCCGCTCCGGTACGACCGCCACCCGACCGGTCTGGTTGCTGGAATCAATAATACATACAAGTATTGATCATCATCTTATCTTTATTTGCTTTCAGGTTATCAAAAGGGAGCAGTCAAAGTCCCGCCTCGATCCTCAAGCCCTCCAAACTCCCAGCATCCTCTACTTCTCCTGCTGCCAAGAGGATCGGGAGGAACTCGCTATCGCCGATGTCAAACATCCGAAGGTCAGAACCTCCTGCTGCTCTTCATCATGCTTTACTCCTCCGCTCCTCTTCCTCATCCTCCTCCTCTTTATGTCACTCCTTCCATCTCACCCTGTTTATTACATCCTGCTGCTCTTCATCAGGCGTCTTCTTCTTCTCTTCCTGCTGATCTCTGTGAACAGGAAGTCATTTAAATGGTTGGAAATTTAAACAGCAGCTAAACCCCAAGTCAGTGTTTTATTGCAGATGAACTATAAAGTGATGGTTCTGTTTTCATGTAAATTTGTTCTGCAGTATTTGACCCAAACGGTCTCAGTGCTGCCCTCCGTTGGTGAGTCAGTGGCTACTGCAGTTGAATTTTCCTCCTGGTTGCAGCGGTGCGTTCATGACTGTCAGCCGGGTTGGGAATGAAACTTTCCCCCTGAGACACTCTGAGGGAACAACTTTAAGCGTTTACAGAGTTTTCCATAATCGCTTTTTTAAATTCGCTCGTCAATTTAAAAAAAAACAACAAAAAAAACTCGCTGGATTTAAGTGTGACTTTTTTAAAAAAAGTCTCTCAGTTGTTTTTGCTCATCAGTTTTTATCGTCTCCAGATTTCTTACATGTTGCTTTTTAAAAATGTTGCTAAATTTGTTGCTCGTCAATTTTTTTAAGTTGCTAGATTTTTGAATCGATTTTTGAAAGGAGTACCATAAACAACCAGAAGCAGGGAATCTGTTGAAACAAAAACTGAATTTTTGAATGAGTGTCTGGATATTTTTTAACACCAAACCTTTTCCTAGTCGACCGGCGTTGGCTTCAGTTTGGTTTAAGTAAAAATATTTGGTAGAATTTCAGGTTAAACTCCAGTAAGTGAAGCAGCAGCACCACCTGCTGGTGGTGACTGGAACAGCCGTAGGAACGTCGGTTTACCGAACTGACAGATTCTCATGGGGTCAGAGGTCATGAGCAGCACCCCTCGTTGTCTCCTGTCCAGGTGTGTTTGTGTCACATGACCTGCCTGTTGATGTTTTGTATCTGCTGACCTCAGCTCAGCTTTCGGCTCGCGCCTGGCCAGCTCCCTCGGAGATCTCTACGCCGCCGACGCCGAGGAGGATGAGAAGACTCCCTTCTCCTCTCTTCCTCCCTCCTCTTCCTCCTCTATCTCTGTAAGCCCCGCCCCCTCGGCCCCTTCGCCCGGCTACAGTGGCGGGCTTCGCGGCGCGCAGCACGAGGTCAACAACAACAGTACCTTGTACGGCGGCTCCGCGGCGCCCCCTGCGGTCAAGGGTTATATGAGGCCGCAGCATCAGGACGTCAGTGCCTTCAGGGGCCATGGGCCCTACAGCGCCATGAAGGGCCCCTCAGGACGTTACCTGAGCCGCTCCATACCTGTAAGTCCTCTGACACAGCAGCAGCTTAGCCCCGCCCCTTTGCTCTGATTGGTTGTTTCTGCTGAAGCTTCCCAACTCTTCTGTCCGTGTGATTGGTCCGTTCTGACGATGCGTTCCCACGCTGCAGCGACCCGAGATGCACCAATCAGGTTCAGAATCAATAAAAGTCAGGTCAAACTTTAAAAAAGATGCTTTGATGCATAAATTGGATAATTGTCGTCATAATTAAGTAATTTAACTGGAGAATGCAGATTATAAAACACTCTGAAAGAGAAACTCACTTAAAGCTGTAATTAAACCAAAAACTGTTTAAGAGATATAAATATTTATCATTTTAAGATGAAAAATATTCATTGTAAATATTTTCTACCCTGAACTGAAGCTGCATTTTTAGCTTCTCCTGTTTTAAATCCTGTGAAAAAAAATAGAAGAAAAATCTCCTATTTATACGCAATTATGAATAAACTCCATCATTCAGGCACAGAATGCAGCGTAAAATATTAATCTGGTAAAAAATGTAAACTTTGTTGCTTTAATTGTAAACAATGAAATGTTAATTTTTAAATCAACATTATCGAATATTTTGCAGCCTGACCAGAAACTAGTGATGGGAATTTATCAAGTTTCAGATCATAAGAATTCAGACTTAATGTAAAAACAATAAATATAAAATTATTTATGTGTGAAAACAGCAAAAACTGAGTGTGAGAGCTGCATAACAAATATCAACAGATCTGAAAATACGATGAAAACCATAAAATTTAAAGGCTGGGAATGAGTTGCAAACATTTTTTTAATCGTATTTTTATACTTATCAATATTTTCTGTCCACCTTTATGTGAAACTATCGTTTCTACCAAAGAACCTGAAGCTGTTTGAGTTTTATACTCGTCAGAATGGGCAGGTTGGAAACCCGATATCGGTTCCGGCCGTACAGAAATCGGTTCCGGCCGTACGGAAATCGGTTCCGGCCGTACGGAAATCGGTTCCGGCCGTACGGAAATCGGTTCCAGCCCTACGGAAATCGGTACCGGCCGTACGGAAATCGGTACCGGCCGTACGGAAATCGGTTCCGGCCCTATGGAAATCGGTTCCGGCCGTACGGAAATCGGTTCTGGCCCTATGGAAATCGGTTTCGGCCGTACGGAAATCGGTACCGGCCGTACGGAAATCGGTTCCGGCCCTATGGAAATCGGTTCCGGCCGTACGGGCCGCGATCGGTGCATCTGGTCCTCATGCAGCTGCAGGCGGAGGGAACGCCTCGCCGCTGTGACTCGTCTGCTGAATGTCTCCGTGTTTCTGTTTCCTGTGATGTTTGGTCTCTGAAATCCTTCCAGCTCTTCTGTAAGCGTGTTGATCAGGGAGCCGAGGGTTTTCTCTGCATCGGGAAACTTTAGCTTCACTAACTGCCAGAGCTGCTGCTGAGACGAGGAATCGCTGCCACAAAGTCTGAGGCTGAGCAATGAGGCACAAAATGTAAGAACGTAAAAAGATAAAATATCTGAGAAAGCATCAAACAATGAAACCAGAAGTTTAAAAAAAGACAGACATCATGGTGATGTCATCGCTTTGAAAACTTCTGATTGGTTAAAATAAAAATTACATTTTTTACACTGATAACATTCAGTGAACTTCAGATCATTTAGACATCATGTCACATTATAACCAAAATAAGCTCAGCGATTATTAAATTTACAAACATAAAAATGCCTGTCCATCACGTTTCCATGGAAACTCAAATTAACAGAGACACCTTGAACGCACCTCACTGCCTGCTGTAACCGAATGGAAGAAACATGAAAAAATATCAAATTATAACGTTTATGGAGTTTTTATTACTTTGTTTTTGTGTTTTAAAAGCACTTTGAGCTGCCTGTTACTGAAATGTTCCCTATAAATAAACTTGGTTATGTCTAATTGATGCTCATCAGATGAAAATTATCTTTTGAATTCAAAGAAAGTTTCAAAAAAATCTCTAAAAATGTTCTCACTATTTTTCTGACATTTAGCAAATAGAGATAATTTTGCTGCTTTTATCTGACCTGAAATAAAATGAGTTTTATCTGATTTTGGTTCAGACAGAGACAGACAAATCTCCAAGTTTTTTTTATTCTGTAAACTTCTGGTTTCATCTGTAAGAAGTTTTCAGAACATAAAAACAAGAATCACCAGCAGGCCTCAGTCTGGGAATCGTTCCAGGAACGGGGAAGGCGGCAGATGAGTGGAAGGAAAAACTCTTGGTCCTGATCAGATCTCGGCCGACCCCAGCCCTTCTTATCTTTACATGCAGCCGTGCGAATCCCTCCCAGGAACTCCAGGAGTCAAAACCAAAAGTAAAACGCAACAAACCTGCTGCGATTGTTGCTGTAATTAGGTTTACAGAAGCCGGCTGGAGGAGAACGAGGAATTCCCCTTTTTCCGTTCAGGGAACAGAAACCTCAGGAATGCCGTCTCTGACTTTCATCCTTAAAACAGAAGATTATTCAGGAATGCTTCTGTTTTTCTACTGAACTCGTGTTTAACATCCAGTCCACGTTTTGGTCCCTGATTTTGTAATTAAAGAAAGAATCCGTCTAATTATTAATCGGTTAGCCGATACATCCGCTCACACTGCATTGATCCTTCACTGAGAAGCGAAGGCTGTTATTGCATGTTGGTTAATAAAATGTTTATTGTCTCATTTAAAAAGGAGTTTAATTATTTTATTTTCATCTTTCTGTTTCTAAAATTGTCTAAAATAATTTTCAGGGGTGAATTTAATTTTTTTTATAATAAATTGATAATTCATCACAATAATCGATTACTAAATTAATTGCTGAGCAAACATGTGGCGACAGTGGACAGGAAAGACTCCTTTTTAACTTTAAAGCTGCAGTTTGTAACTTTTTGCAGAGGATTGTCTTTTTTGTTGTAATATATATTCTTATCAGTTTAACTCACCTTAAAGCTGCAGTTTAACTTTTATAAAGCGCTGCCAATCATCCTAAACGCGCTGCTAAAAAACTTAGTTACAGGAACACTGTTTATCCTCCGTCATCGGTTGCTATGCAGCATTAGCATTCACAACAGGCTATGCTAGCTGCAGCGTAGCAGAGAGAAAGAACCACACGAGGGTGATTGGCAGCGCTAAGCCCCGCCTCCTGGCTCTGATTGGTTGTTTCTAGTGAGCACAGATTTTTCACAGATTATCTGTTTCATTTTAAACTATATCGGTGTGAGACACCATCTTCAAATATGTGAAATGTATATATTTATTGAGGTTTCACACTGCAGCTTTAACTGGGGTAAACTGGATCAGAACCAGGCTTGGTTGGCCCGGTTCTGAAGTCAAACAGGCTGAGTGATTTTCATTAAACCAAACTGAAAGTTTCCCGTTTGACGACTCAAAACGTTCCTGTGTTTCCTCCTCCAGTCTCTTCAGTCGGAATACATCCAGTACTAGAACCCGCGGCCCGACCTGAGGGTCCAGAACCACCTCCTCCTCTGACAGCTCCAGCTTTGAATCGGGAACCCGAATAAACCGGCGAGAGCTGGACTCTGGACTCAGACTGTATGTGAGCGAAGCTGTGTGTAAATGTGACCCGATCGGCTCCACAGCGTTTTATGTTCCTGACAGAACAACTCGGGCTTCAAAGTGCTTTTGAAGGTTTTTTGTTTCGTTTTGATAAACGGGGACGGTCAGCTGATCGGCGGCTCACCCCGTCGCCATGGTTACAGTATTTACGTCCAGTTTTGGTGAAGACGGGACTTGGTCTGAAACGCCTTAGAGAAGCTTTAAAAAACAAACTTTTATCTTTAACGGACTGAAAATAGACGGTTCTCTTTCTCAGGTTCAGATTTACGACACCAGCAACAAAGAAGGAAAAAAGTTTTATCTGTTTCAGTTTGATGCTTCCAACATGCCTGGAAAATAATGAAATGAGCAAGAAAACTTTAACTAGGCTAAAATGTAGTTGTAGTTGCCGTGGAGACATGAGCAGAAGTGTAGTTCGAGTGTCGTTTTTACGGTCGGACTGAACAGTTTTACCAGCACAAACCAGCAGCTGCCTGCAGGGGGCGCTCAGCAGATCACATCATGTTATATTTTAATGTTTACTAATCGACTCGTCTTAAAAATTGTTACATGTGTTTTTTTGTAAGCCGGATCCGTCCGAGCCCGTCTGATTTTTGTCCCTCGGCTGAAGAAGTTCTGGATTCTTCCAGTAATCGGGTCCAAAGGCTCGGTTCCGACCCGTATCACACCTCCAGCTGGGAGAATTCGGACCGGAGCCGCAGTTTCAAACAGGCCCAGAGTGCCTTCTACACGTTATCATGAAGAAGAGACTTTTATTGTGGCGGTCCCCAACAGGAAGTTGTGTGGCTGCTGTTTTAACCATGAATGTTTTTTCATCTGTATTTATGTCACTGAGACTTTAAAGGGAAGTCAGAAAATAATGTTTTCTCTCAACTGAACCAAGAGTTTCTGCACAAATAAAAACAGGAAACACAATCATTATTTTTCTCTTTATTTGAGTCGAAGCTTCTGCAGGAAATAAATATATTCATGTTTGAGTCGAACACAGTTTCTTTATGAATTAAAACAGGAAGTAGAATAATTATTATTCAGTTTGTTTCTCCAGTCTGGTTGGTGTGAATTTAAATCGTTTTGCTCTGGTTGGATCCATCTGCACTAAATTCATTGTTTTTCTATAAATCTGATGAGAAATGAACTGAGGATTCTGGGAAATGGAGTTTGTGCAGGAAAAGAATAAAACCTCAGTGGAAAGTAACTGGGCTGGACAGTGGCGCAGTTGGTAGAGCCGTTTCCTTGCAGCAAGAAGGTTCTGGGTTCAATTCCCAGCCCCAGTCTTTCTGCATGGGTACTCCAGTTTCCTCCTAAATTGCCCCCTAGGTGTGTGTGTGTGTGTGTGTGTGTGTGCATGGTTGTCTGTCTCTGTGTTGCCCTGTGACAGACTGGTGACCTGTCCAGGTGACCCTGCTTCTCACCTGGAATGTTAGCTGGAGAGGCAGCAGCTCCTCCTGACCCACCAAGGGTGTGAAGAAGATGGATGGATGGAAAGTAACTAGTTACTGTAATGTAGTACAAAAACTCAGAAGTTTGTTTGCAAAACTTTTACTTGCTTTTATTTTCAGTGAAGCATTATATTCACGTTTGAAGTCATATTTGGTAATGACTAAAAATATAAATAAATATATAAATATAAATAAAGAAAATATTTAAAAAATAATATTTCATGATGTATGCTAACGTCTTTTGTTTTGGATTCTTATTTAATTCTTACATCTGCACAAAGTAACTTTTAAAGTAAAATTTACTACAGTAACATTTTACAGTGCTCGTTTAGTTTAATTTTAAACTCTTTTCACCTCTGAACTTTGAGTCGAGTCTGATCACAAGACGCTGATCAATAATCTTCACTCAGTCTGTTATCAGTTAATCATCTGAAAGACGTTTTATTTTTAAGAATAAAACTTTTACACCTGAACTTCTAAAACAAAAACTGATTTTTATTAATGGCTACGATTAAGTGGAAATAAATCATTCTAAAAGTGAAATTTTATTTTATTTTGAACTGGTTGGAAATGTTAACATGTATTTTAAATAAAACTTCAAGAAATAAATAAAATCTATTCCTGGTTCCAAAATGATCCAATAATTATATTTGCCAAAATGTAGCTAATAAAGTTGATATTATTCCTGTTTTTATTTGAATAAAATGATGTTTAATTATTTACTTTATTAATTAAGAGTTTAATTACTGATAAATTAGTTTATTTTAATACATTTTATTATATTTTAATTTTATTTTAATAATCTACACCAGAGAATACAAGTAATTAAAACACCATATTTCATATTTATTTAATGACTCATTAATTCATTGAATTGTCTCTTTTTGAATCATTTAGTTTAGTCTCATTTAATCTCATGTCCTCTGATAAACTAACTTTAAATGTTTTATTGTTTGGATGAGAAACTGTTTTATCAGAGTTAATCTATTCTTTTTATAAACTAACTGGTTTGGTATTTAGACAGATGGAAAGTTTCCATCCAAACTATAAAACATTTAAAGTTAATTTATCAGAGGAAATGAGATTAAATTATTTTGTTATTTAGATGAGAAACAGATTAAATAGTGAAACTGAAGCTACGTTCAGGAACATAAACATTCAGATCCAGACAGAAAAGCCTTCTCATTATGAAAGTGAAACCTGTTCTCCTTCTGACCAGCAGAGGGCGCCGTGGCCTCCTGCATGAAAACATGTTCTCCTTCTGTCCAGCAGAGGGCGCCGTCTCCTGCATATAAAGGCGGCCGATCAGAGGGGGGCGTTTCTGTTTCATCAGGACTGTGGGGGTTCATGTGTCGAGCTCATTTTCTGCTTCAGACTCAGAGACGGAGCACAAAGGAGAGAGACGCTGCTGCTCCTGCTGCTGCTCCTGCTGCTGCATCCATCCGTCCATCCAACCGTCCATCCATCCGTTCATCCATCCGTCCAGCAGGATGGACGGCTGCCTTCAGCTCCTCTCAGGTGAGATTCTGCGTCCTGTTTATGGTCAGAAAACTGTTTTTTTGTTTCCTTTCATTGAAGCGTCTCAGCGTCTCTGATTTCATTTGAATAATAAAAGCAAAGCGGCAGAATCTCTGTTTAACATAAAAATGGCTCCAAATGATTAGATTAATGGAAATATCAGTTTATCTGAGGCTTTGATCATCAGCCGATCAGCTGATAGGTTCACAATCAGCTGATTAATTCATCAAAATGTTGAAGATAATCACTGATTTCTGTTAAATCAATCTAACTCAGGGCTGTTTTTTATGGGTTTGTCTCTTTATATTTAATAACTGTTTTCTTCTAGTTATTCGTCTCATTTCTGAGCGTCAAATTTGCGTTTTTCAGCCCGGAGCCGGTTTGATTTTGTTTGTTTTCAGTGTTCAGCCGTTTGAAACGGGTCTGTTTGAGATTTAACTTACTTGTGGGGATCAAAGGTTTTTAAATCAAATAATCAGTTTTACATCATTAGTTCATATTTAGAATAAAAACTGTCAAAACCAAAATGATCCTGTGTGTTTCTATTTGCCACAGACTTCTATAAGATACTAAAGAAATGATTTGTGTCTAAATGCTCACAGTAACTGAATTTTAAATTTATTGGTATTTCTTGATGGTTTTATTGAACAAACAGTGGAGAAAATAGTAAAACTATCAATCCTGACAGTAATGACAGTTTTTGGATTTTAAACATCATTAATTTGTATTTATCATCAAAATAATAAAATCCCTGTCATTATAAAAATTTGTCCTAATTTTTTTTATCGTCGTCCTGCAGCAGAAATGTTTTTCCGTAGGTAAAGACATTAAATTGTTCATTTTTTGCTCCTTTTTTGTCTTGAAATTTTTCCCCAAACGTCTCCAGAACCAGAACAAGTTTTTGGCACAAGCGAGGAATTACACTTTGGTTTTTATCCCTCACTGTGTTCATACATTAAAAACAAATATATAAACTTTAGAGGAAGAAAAATAAAGGATAAAATGAGCCATATTTTAATAAAAAAAAGAAAAAAGGAAGTTGGGTTGTTTAATTTATTTCCTAGTAGAGAATCCGTCTGTTCCGGGTTTAGGCTGCTCGTTTTGTTCATCAGAGACAGAAACCATTTCTGAAGGTTAAAGTATAAACAGTTTGTGTCCAGGATGTGTGGGGTCTGTAGAAATGTTATGAACCCTAGAGCTGTAAAAGTCCTGGATGTGTTAGAAGGCCTGGCATGATTTATTGCTGTCTGCCTCTTTACGTGTAAAATAAATCATAAAGCATGATGTCACTCAGAGCACAGAAAGTTTTCACACCTGGTAGTCCAGCAGACTCGGTTCTACTGGATCGTCTACTGCGGCGTTTTTCTGTTACATTTGTTTTGTTCAGTTTTTTTTGTTTCTGTGTTTTGGAGTTTGAATCATTAATGTTTTTGCAAAAGCAACAGCCAGCAGCGCGTTCACACCTGTTGGGTTCGATTCAAGCTTTATTCTTCTGGATATCCAAATCAATTCAATTAAAACGGGCCTTATGTATCTCAAAGGCATAATAATGTCGTAACTCTGATCGTGAGCATTGCTGTTGATTCTGTGGGAACGAAAGCTCTCCAGTAGCAGTCAGTCTCCCAACCAATCTAAAGAGGCCTCTGACTGAAGATTGTTGCTATACGACAGTCTCGCAATCATCATGACATGCTAACAGCTAATATCCGATAATCCTCAGTAACATGTCCTGGATGACATCATCGGTCGTTAGCTAGCTCTGCTAACCCGCCTCCTTTGCTGTTGCAGCTTCTCTTGAACTTCCTCCTTCTCTCTCTTTGCGTCCGTTCAGGCTGCTTTTCAGCTCCTCTGGGGTTTGGGGTTGTAGTTCAGGGATTATTTGAGCTTTTGAAATGCTAATCAAAAACAAACAAACAAAAAAACATTGTTACCATGGTTACAGATCATAACAACTGTCCAAAAATAGAGTTTCAGAGCAAAAATCTCCTTGTAGCTGCTCAACATCCAGAACCAGAAGGAATGATGGCTAGAAAAGTTTTTATAGATTTGATCCATTTATTTATAATGAATTTTTTTATTTTTGTTTTTTTGCAGGATTAAAGATGAAAATTATCAAAATATTTTTTGCACAAATAAATAAGACATTTTAGTGTCTTTTCTCAAACTGCTGCAGTTTTTACTCACCTGCAGATTTCTGCATCAGAATCATCTGAATACTTTCTATTTTTATCGTTTTACTTTCATTTCTTTAGTTGAACTTTTAGGAAATCTGTTGTTCCGACCTTTTCTCCCTGGACTAAAATCGCTCTGATTGTCTCATGTTTCCGTTCATGTGGACAGAAGGAACACAGCCAGAACACACGGCTGCTGAAGTCACCTTTGGCATCAAGATTATCCTTATAACTGTCAGGTTAAAGAGGCCCCTGCTGCCCCCCCGTCGGCCCCTGCTGCCCCCCCGTCGGCCCCTGCTGCCCCCCCCGTCGGCCCCTGCTGCCCCCCTGCCGGCCCCCGTTGGCCCCATCAGTCATCCACCATACTTTTGTTCTTTGGGCTTAATTTGTTTCTTTGGTTAGATCTGTGTGAGACAAAAATTATGTTATGTTTTGTACAATACAAAGTTTTCATATTTTGTTATAAGTAGAACCAAGTAAATCCAAAGTCTTTTACTGAAAAGTCGATTTTGTTGCGTCTGCTTCATTTATTAAACTCGGCTGAAAATGGAAAGCATTTTGAAAGGAAGTGACCCAAATTCCGTTCTTAGAAATTAGATTAAATTTGTTCAATCGAGCCCAAATAATTTGAAAGGAGTTTTGGATAAATGATGACTAAAATCCCCTTCCTACCAAAAAATATATATACATAAAAACAGACTACTTTTTTTTGTATTTTCTTGGCTCAACGTTTGTCACGTTTTAGACAAAAGTGATAAAAAGTTTGGACACCCCTGCTTTAAAGGTG